CCCCAAAACCCCAAAACCCCAAAACCCCAAAACCCCTTGTCATATATTGGATTGAAGCCTTCTAAATTTAATTTGCAGGAACGGGGATTGAGGATGCATCTTCAAAGAAGGGCTGGTAGTTAGTACCCTGGTGACCGAGACTATCGTCCTTCTGCTTGATCATGTTAACTCTTTGGATTAAGAACTTCTTATTTCTCTCGTTCATCTCCTCATCCGCCTCGATCAGATCTCTGAGTTCGGAATATTTTATCCATTTGGAGACTGGAGAGGATTGAGCAAAATCAATGGCTTTGGCATACTTTCCAATTGTTATGAGGATCTTGAACACGTCTTTGTGCTGTCTCAGCCTGTACATCATGTTAATACCATAGTCGAAAGCAGGAGCGTAGAAGTTAGAAAGAGTTGTGATTGAGTTTCTGAAATTTTTCGTGTCGTATCCAAGATCTTTGGAACAACCCAGTTGTACTAAGTACTGGGCTAACTCTAGAGTGTCATCTAGAACTTTGTATTGGAGGAGGTTTTGCAGACCAATGAAATCTCTGTTTTTCCATATAAATTTCCAAAGGACAGCTTGAAGTCTAGGATGTGTTGACAAGCTGAATTCTTGTAAACATCTGATATATTCTACCATTACGGATCTGAGGTATGAATATTGAAGAGAGTCAACATCAATAATATCAACAAAAATTTGAACCATTTCGTGTTGGAATATAATTATTTCTCCACTCATAATTCTTGAAGTATCTTGACACTTCTTAGAAATCTCACTACTCAGCTTAGCACTCCCGTATTGTGAGGGTAAAGAATTTCTGCCTGAACTTAGAACTGCAAGACTCATTGACCTCATTACTTGATTCGCCTAAATACGAAATTAAATACGATATCGGTCTAATTAAGCCACAAACCCCACTATGAGTCCTCTTCTATCGTCTCTTTCCCAATAGTTTCCTTAAATTAGTCATCTCCCAAGGCCAGCACTCACCTGTCCGCCTACTGAGGCTGTTGAGTTCTTAATATAATTAACAGAATCAGTTCCGTTGTCTTGATATCCTTTATTCTGTCTTTCCAGAGTGGCATCCTTATAAACCCCGTTGATTTTGAGGAAGATCTTGGTCAAGATCTCCAAAGAGGTCCTCCTCAGGATCAAGTACTTGATGAACCTGACAGCTTGAGTTTTACTCTCACTTCTGAGAAGCAGAGATTTAAATATCCTTATGGTTGATTTAGCAATGGACGAGTAGTTCTTAAGACTTAGCATATACCCGAGACACGCACCGTGATGAAGGTTGAAGATTATGTTGTCAGGAGCGTAGATTACATCATCACTGTAGATGTTTGAATCAAAATTATTCTCAGATTCACTAAATCTCGAGAATACGTTATCATGGCCCTTGCTCTCTTCCTTTGGATCTAAGCTGGGATCATCAAGTTGGAGGTTGATTTCTATTTCAACTACTTGGTCTTCGTCATCATCTGATACATCTCCTCTGGCTGCGCCAGAGGGATGGCTAAAGATTATGAGAAAACTTACTTATATGTAAACTCGATCTCAAACATTGATTGTTCAATATAAACAAAGTTCTTACGGCCAGTAATAAAAGACTCAAGGTTCTCATCGTTATCATCAAGATAATCAACCTCAAATTCTGCTTGTATTCCGTCACAGACATAGGAATCTGATGAGAATTTTGTATCTAATGGGAGATTCTTTCAGACTGGGTCTGTGATAGGCTTCACTGACAAGTCAAATATTTTACTAAACTGGGCATCTAGGTTATGAACCAGCAGTAAGTTATCAATCGAGTGGACTGCATGTTGGCACTCAGGGATCAAGTCAATATAGTTCTTGTCTATATACGTGTGTAACTACATTAAACCATAGGAGGATATTGTTAAGAAGTCCTTACTTCTCAGAAAAGTCCTCTCGGCGATATCAAACTGGTATATTTCTATCTTCCCGATCTTGTTATTAAGAAACATGATATAAGGGATATTGTACAGAATTACCAGATGTAGTGAAGGGCTATATTTATTACAACTTTGCAAGTACTATTCAGAGTCTTGGTCCTCACTCTAGATATGTTAAATTTTGAAACTCACCATTGTAAAAGCATTGTAAATATACTCATTCTTTTCTGAGATCATCAAGATATTTTTGTTGTTGATGGGCTCAACAGCTTTAAAATCTTCTTTCACAGTTGAAGATTTCAGGAAAGATAAGGCTCTATCTGTGATAGACATTCTTGAAGATCTTGAAGAGGTGAAGGAGCCACTCATAGCTTCCATTCCTTCTCCAGAGCTTAGCTTTCCACTCTTTTTGACCAAATTCTTTGTTCTGGGATTCTTGTTCAGATCGACTACCTGGATGACTCCTTCTTTATTTATGACAGTGGCAATGTTATAAAAGTGGAGCTCATACAGAAGATATTCTCCCTTTATTGGTATCTTCTTCACATGCATTACATTAGAGCTGTATTTGTTGAAGTTTAAGATTTCTATCTCTCTATCATTGCAGATGAAGAAGTTAAAATAATTTGAGCTTGCAAAGGAAAATCCAAGGATTTTTCTTGCATTTGGGTACTCAAATCTATATTCATCAAGCTCATACTGCTTCCTGACAGTACCATGAGGACTTGTCCTAGCGCTGTTGTTGAAGACGTAGACGCAGTTGAATGTATTTTGAATAGCAATCATGGTTTCATCTGAGTTCACAGCACAAGCATAAACCCTTCCAAAGGCATTTCCAATGTTGAACTTCTCTATTCTTTGGGGTTCGTTGAGTCTCTTTTGACTTTGGATGAAAAACTTTCCTTCTTTATGGAATATTATTTTCTTAGAGAAGTGATCGTAGAAGCAATCATAGTCTTTGTACCAGTTCTTCACTACCTTTCCGAGGAATATGAAAGGGTACTTAGCATTGACACCTGCAATGTTGAGATGCTCAAACCTTTGCTCATATCCTTGCATTTTTGTCCTGAGATTTTATTAATATAACAAATAAAGGGGTTTTGGGGTTTTGGGGTTTTGGGGTTTTGGGGTTTTGGGG